CACGTCAATTTTTGGGTGCCACGTAGTGCATTTTTTAACGGTGCCGTGACGGTCCGTTAAAATGTTGGGTTTTTTATGGGTTTTGAAAGGTGGAAGGTGTGAATAGGGAGAAAAAATTCCGGAAGGTGTTGACCGCAGAAAAGAAATAAATGGAGGGTGCAAATAGGGGCTTTGGCCATTCTAAAAGACTGATTACGTTTTTTGGGCCTTTTATACTCTAGTCATACAGAAGGAAACTCAGGGTTCATTTTATGGTAATGAATCTTAAGCTTTTTCACATGTAGAAGATCAAAGAGAACCATTTTCCAAATAGTCAGTGTGACAGTGTCTATGAGCTAGATCTTCACTATTACATGTTAAAATGAGCATAAAGATATAATTCAAAAGTATTGAACAAGGTTATAAAGAGCGTCAGGCAGTGGGTGTTGAACCACTTACTAGCGCCTAGACAGTGCTTAGGCGCTATCTAAGCATTGTTAAACATTTTAGGCAGTTTTATTTTTCTTCCAAAAATGCCAATATAGAATAGAAAATTCAAAAAAAGCAAAAAATTGAAATGCATCACTCTAGCGCTTAGGGACTAGTCAAGGCAGCAGAGCACTGCCTCCCAAAATTACAATTGGAATAGAGTAAGTATTCAATGATATTGTTATGAGAGTAAAAGAAATTAGAATGTCCTGATATTAAAAATATTAAGATATTTAATCATAATTATTAAATGTGTAAAACATAATGTGAATTTTAATTTTATCAAATTCATAATATATTTATTATTAGACGTCCTAACATTTTTAATGTTAAAGATATTTTGATTTCCTTTTTTCCTTTGTTGTTATTATTATACCACCATTTCAGTGTTTATGTTGGCAATCCAAACCATTAATAATAATAATAATATTCTCAGGAGTCTGAGTAACTTATTTTACATTTTGGAGCGAAATTTTGACATGACCAGATTTTCCTATGCAATGGCATCTCGAGTGGTAGGAGATGTATATTTTAGAATGGCTTCAATGATCCTCTCTTTCTCCCTCGTTGCAAATGCTTCCAGAAGAACTCCATTTTTATAGAAGTGGAAGAGGGGCACTGCCTGCACCAGCTAAATTAATGTTAGTCACAATGCAGTACGGTACATTGGCACTAGAAAGTGGAAACAGAATAATGGTATGTCGTTGATAATGATATCCAAACAAATAGATGAAAGAGAAGATGCTTCATTTGTATATATCAGGATGCATCTGCAAATACTGTCCTGATTTTTTGAATAAGGAGTAGCACAACCCAGAAAGAGAAAAGCAACAGAAAAATGTTGGAGACAGAATTTTCTTCTTATATTGTCCTTCTTGTTGGGAATTTTGAGCACCACAATCCCATACAAACGGAAGCAACAAAGAAATTGTTGTCTTTGCTTCAAAATGAATATAATAGAGACTAATAGAAAAAAGGATTTTAGCATGTGATGAAAGAACTATCTAGAAGAAAGGCCAGCTTAGAAATCATCTCAAAGTCCATGCTTCCATTGAGAATTATGAGCTCACAAAAATTTATGAAGCAAAATGAAAGAGTAAAAGCAAGCGTATTTGATCTTCAATCTAAAGAAGTGATATCTGCGATCTGATCGCTTACCCTGATTCTAAGTCTTTCAGCAACTTCAGATTGTTCATCATACTCATCAATTACCTGCATTACGCAATATATCCTGAGATTTCATTTGCCATGTACTCTGTTGACTATTTGAAGGAAAAACTTATCCCCACCTTAATGAACAACTAATCAAGGCAAACTAACACCCTATCCTCGACCCTTTTAAATGAATCCTACAAATCATGAATCAGCACTTCTAGATGTAAGCCTTTTAATGCAAGTAGCATTTCCTTTTCTCATTGTAAAACCTAATGCCTGAATTTTAATTGCATATTTCAAATAAATACCTAGTAAATATTCATTTAGCTCACCTGTGGAGGGAGGGACTCACTTCAATCCTACCCAGTTTACCTTTTCTCTAAACAACTGTCTCTAAGGCACAGGATATTCATATATTTTAGGCAGCCAAGACACCCAAGACAGTCATTTTGTGAAAAGAAAAATACTTACATTATGTTTCAAGAAGATCACTGCAGCTTCTCGATCACCTGAACCCTTGCACAATTTTGAGAACCCCTGTTCTATGTACTTGCAGCTTCCACAGGAAGTTCGGTAAAAATCTACCACAACCAACGAATTAGTTTCCTCGGCCTTTTCAAGTATTCTTAAAAACTCCTCATCCGTCTTAAATTCTCTAACACAGTCCACTGGACAAAGATCATCATCTTCATCAGATAATTCCCCTTGACACTCTTCAGCTAGACCTTTGAACCTTTGTGGCCGTGAAATGTGGCCAATTTCCAAAATGTCACCTACTCTCATAGATAGTATTTTGGCTCTAATAATGCAACTATCAGCATGAGTTACACGGTTTCTCCACTGCAAACTACCCATGATACAGGAGATTCTAAAATGGGGTTCTCTATGAAGAAGAACATTCTTTCTCAAACTTAAAAAGACCTTACCGTGAACAATATTTTGCTTTTGCATGATCATACACAGCAAACCTCCAAAAAAGGGATACCTTCCCCAAATTATGAATCTAAAGAACAAGCCTTGATATGCTTTAATCAGTACAAACACAACCATTACTCCTTGAAAGAGACCTCCTTTTTAGACAATTCGAGCAACCCCATTTGTAATCAATCAATAGGTTCAAGAAAGAGCTGCTCTCCTCTGCTACTAAAATCAGAAAACTGCAATTCAAAAGGAAAAAGAAAGATACTTTACCATATTTATCCTACACAAACACAATAGCCCAATAGGAAATTTTAAGTGCTTCTACAGGGATAAAACTAGATGCTTTGGTCGATGGCTTACCTCCGGCAGCAGGTGGAAGGAGTGACTCTTGGCACTTGGCAGTATATTATCCGAAGAAGCTTCGAATGGCAAACGGACGCGCCACCACAACATCCGATTTTGATGTCCCAAAACTCTATCCATTTATTTATCCTTTGGGGCCCTTTCAAGTCTCAATTACTCTATACGACCCGGTTGTTTTGGGCTGAGACAGAGTAGTATTAGAAGATGCCAAGATGGTCAGACGGACCAAACGGAAGGCCCAAGCCCACGCCCTATAAACCTCGCACTCTGCATGTCAGGCTGGTCCACCCATAGAAAAAAAAAAATATATATATATATTATTATTATATACCCTTGATTGCACTGAATTCCATAATAAGAATTGTCTAACGAATGGTTGTCTCTTTAATATTAAAACCCCTTACCTTATTTCTTTTT